GTTGTTGCCCAACTTTTTCAATAAGAAAAATATTTATAATGCCCACAAGAGCTTTCGAGAAATCATTTTCCCATAATAATGTTGCAACTACCTTTACAAAAAAATGCAATCACCCTAAAAAGGTCCAAAATCTAGTATCAAGGCTTTCTTAAATAATTTGAAATTAAATGAAAAAAATAGAGAGGAGAGGAGGCAGGCAAGCCATGTGGAATAATGGCTTGGCAAGTCAAAATGAGATGGCAAATCCAAATAATAATATGGCGGTTATCAAGGTTTTCTTAAATAACTTGAATTAAATGAAAAAACAAAGCAGAGAGGAGGCGTCCAAGCCATGTGGAATAATGGCATGGCAAGTCAAAAGTGAGAAAGTAAATCCAAATGATAATATGTTGATTAATTTAGAATAGTGTTGGTCAATGGGTGGTTAAAATGAGTTTATTGGGATAGACTACGGCATGGGATGGCTCGGCTAGCTCAATGCACAATGTTCTTATAATCAACGTTAAATAGAATAGTACACCACATAAAGGCATACGACAAAAGACACAAACTCAAGAAATGGGTTAACTACATAAAAGCTTACAAGAATATAACATACCTCAGAAGACCTGACAATACAAAGGTCCAACAAAAGAAAATATATAAGAAATAGTGAAATAAAAGCTTGATAAAAAAAAAAAAAAGACTATCATGAAAGTCTTTTATAGATAATCTAAGACTCATATAAAACTAGCTCCAGATGCTCCATCACACTCTTTTGTTTTGAAGAATTCAACACCATGGAATGAAGCTAAAAAAATATGAATAGGTGATAAGGCTATTGAAGATCTTCAAATACATATGATCCTTGGAAGGCATGAGCATACTACATCGGGTAAGGAAGTCCTAAGCTATCCATCTTACATACAATCTGAAACAATGAGTCATGAAAGACAACAAAAGTGAAGTAGATCAACCAAAAAGTCAGTATTATATGCAGAGGGTACAAAAACATTCACAACTTGCCACGACACAGTATTAAATCCAACACATGCATTGAATATTAGGCAAACCTCTACATCCATAAAGATCTATTTCAAAAGCATTATGATTTATTTTCTCACAATTCTATAAAGTTTGGATTTCTCAATGGTGAATCTGATGGGGACATCAGAACATGGAAGGTTTATCAGAGGCGTGTCCGCCGATCTACGGCCACGATCGAGTCATTGTACTTTTGATTTATGTTATGTTTTATTTATGTGTCATTGTATTTGTTTTAATTTTTATGTTATTTTATTTCTCGTTGTACCCTTCTAGTAAAGGGATGTCGTATGTAAGCCCCAAGGGCATTTTAGTCTTTTATTTCTTGAGTCTCATGTACTAGGCTATTTATAACTCCTCGTTTTATTTTTCAAGTAATGAATGAATGATTGATTAAAATTTTCCCTTGCATGAGTTCTTATGAGAGCTTGAGAGTTTGATTGGTGAATCCCTAGGAGAGGGAACTCGGATCACCCACCAACCTTGGAGACAGCCGGGTTCGTGGTTTTACTTCTCTATTGTTTTTCCCCCTTCCCCTCTTCCTCAAGTCGCCGGCTTTGAGCACCCCCCAAATCCCTAAGCCGCCGGCCACCCTACTCCCCATCCCCACCCATCGGTTAAACACCACCACCACCATCCACGGACAAGCCCCAAACCCGCCGGCCCCTCCTCTTAGTCGTTCCCTCAATCACCAACTTGCCATTAAACCTTTCCTAAAATAACCTTTTATATTTTAGGTAACTCTATTCATGAGTAAATTCAAATCTATTTGAATTTAAAATAGTTACCTAAATTATAATCCTATTTTTGGTAACTTCCTAATTCAAAGTATATTTAAAATCTCAAATTAAATTGGATGAAATCTTTCATTCCAAATTTAATTTCTTAATTTAAGTAAGCATTGAATGCCTCCACAATCCTCTCCTCCTACTCCCTATGCCGCCAGCCCCATAGAGATCTCCTTTGAGATTGTTACCTAAAATCACTTCACCCTTTTGGAAACAATTCCAAAATCCCTCCTTTTCCTGTGGCTGAAATTCCCCTTGCTCCCCACCTCCTTAAATCTTTCCAAACCCACTCCTCCCAAGTTGAAATTAAGCCTCAAGCTCCTCTCCCCTGCTGGCAGAAAACCCCCCAAGACTCATATGCTGTTTTTCCTCCACAAATCCCTCCCAAACCCCATCTCACGTGGGGTTTCCTGATCTCCAAGACTGCTGCCAGAAAATTCCTGCAACCATTCTTGGATTTTTCGTCGGCTAGAGGCTTCAAACTGTTCTCTTAAAGGGACAGGTTGTTGTCCATCAATTTCCACTGGATTATGTTCGTTGTAGCATCTTCAGAGAAGTCCCTCCTTGCCGACCAGCACCTCCTAGAGTCAAAACAGTGACTTCTCGCATGGATGGCTGACCCAGAAACGGAGTACGGACTTGAGTACGACAAGGACAGCTTCGTACGCATTCTCCAATCAACTTTCTTTGACGTTAATCCGAGGATCGATCACACCGTTGAAGATTACATAGAGCGTATTTTGGACACTTTGGTGGAAGCAATTGAAAAACAACTTGAAGGCGTTGAGTGAAGGATCACCACCAATCCTTGACAAAGGATTCTACTTTCTCCTTTCATTATATTTCTTGAGTCTAACTTTATCTTGTGTTTGATTGTAGTCATGAAGGGCGCTTCCTCCTACTTCTGCTAAGCTTAGTAAACGTAGGAATTTGAGTGTGCTTCTTTGCTTACTAATTCTCATTGTTAGACTAGGAATTTTGATTGAAGCTACTACTCTGGCATTGCGCTATTTTATAATTTATTTTAAAGCATCAAATATCTGGTTTTGTGACTTAGTCTAAGCGGGCGTGACCCCTCTTTTGTTTTATTATGTTGTTTTAAATGATTGTTGTTTTATTCGTTATTCTCTAATCAAAGTTGTGCAAGATCTTACCAAAATCATTACATTCATACGTAGTCCTACATCATAATCTTTTTAAGAGTTCTAGTGAGAAATCTCTCAAGCCTAGGATTAACAGGAACCAACTCTCTCTTCTTAAATTCAATATGTTGTCTATACTTATTAAAGATTAATGTAAGTTTATGTAAAATCAGGCATATATTGATTAAAAGAGAAATCAAAATTACTAGACTCATTTGAACATGAGAACATAAAGACCTCGCAGTAGAAAGAGTTAAATCCTTTAAATTTCTAAAAAATTGAAATATGATGCTCCAAGGATCCAAAGTTTTATGAATAATGATACTCATTTTGTGACTAGGAACTACTATCATGATTACACAGAAAAATTACAATCTATACTCAAAGGTCATCATCAGAAGAAATCTCTTATAACTCAGACAAAGAATTGCTTACCTTCTAAGGAAAAGGAGGAGGCTTAACATGCGAATGAAGAGAAGACTTTATAAAACGAAGAGGAGAAGACAACTTGAGAAGGAAAATGAGACTGAACAACAAGCTGTTTAACATGCTCAAACATATGATGAGTGGGTAGGCTCATCACTAATATCTTGCTCGAAGTTTCGATGGCTAAAAACATGTGGTGGTTCTAAGACAATGAAGCTCCTTAAAGAAAATTGTCTAGGCACTTGATTATTAAACCTTCTAAGAGGAGATAATTTTATAAGATATTCATTATAACGTAGTACCTAAGAGTCTATAGAAGTCCTAAGAGGATTATCAACATGCTCAAACATTCAATGAGAAGGTAGGCTCATCACTAATATCTTGCTTGAAGTCTTAATGGCTACAAATATGTGATGTTTCTAAGCCAATGGAGCTCCTTAAGGAAAATACTCTGGGCACTAGATTATTAGACCTTCTAAGAGGAGATAATTCCATAAGATGTTGATGATAACGTAGTACCTAAGAGTTTATAGAAGTCCTAAAAGGCTATTCAGTTCTAAGGTTGGTTAAGTAAGCAATTTATAATGATACTTCTACGGGAGTTTCATTTCCATCCATATGGTCAGCTACGAAACTACACTTGTTATACTCATCCTTTGATTCTTCTTCTTACTATTAACTAAGATTGAGATGGGATGAAGGGATCTCTTAGTAGCCGTACAAACTAGGGTAGGGAGGTGGATTAGGCCAAACAATGAATTTGGTTTAGTTAAATATGGATTTTCTTTCTGATTATAATTGGCAAAATCAATGAATTTAGCTTCGACACTAGCACTAATGTTTATAACTTTTTTCTTTTAGTATTAGCAACTTGACTCGTAATTTCTAAAAAGTATTCATCACTGGCATAATTTCTCAAGTATTCCTTGTATGCCTAGGATTATGTTTTCGTGAGTATGATGGAGCTAACAAGTTTACTCATGAATCTTGAATTATGACAAAGTTAGGGGCATTCCTGTATGGTCTTAAGTAGGCTTCAAGTTGATAGCAATACCCATTATAATATAACATTCGAGTGAAGGAACCGACAAGTTTTTGAATTTCAAGATTCAAAGCAAGTTTTCACAGAGTGCTATCAGGTTTTGATAATATTGAAGGTCTAAATGGAAAGTGATCAACTAAAAGTTGTAGAGGATGTTGCGCTGATGAAAATTAACAATTTGAATATAAATTTTGAATGTGAAATGACAATTTTACGATCAAAATATAGAGTGCAATAGCTGAAGAAAATGCAATAATATAACAAATTTAGAATTAAAGCATGCAATAGTTTAGGCCATGCTTAAGAACTTTTTTTATAAGAAAAAGTGAAAAAATAATAAAATATATGTGTGCTTATTTATTTTTTATTTTTTATTTTTAAATGAATTTATTCGTTTTTAAATTTTTTAAAACAGATTTGAGATATTTTTAATATTTAAAAAATAGTTTTATTCTTAAACCTTAACCGAACTCCCTTCCTCTGCATGAGATGGGAGAGCAAGGAAAAAGAGGTGGCAGCTTCGATCATGACTAACTCCTAATACTTTTAACCTCGAGGATAATAGTTGAATTCCCCTACCTCCATTGAAATCCATTGTCCGACCATCATCATCAACAGGTATTGATTGTTGTAGCTCTCTATTTCCTTTGAGAAGAAAAAAGATGGCTGAGGATCGCACTGTGAATCCATGTCTTCTTTCACAATTAGACCAATTTCTTTACTAATATGAAGGATCACACTATCACCACAATGGCAACAAATTTTGTCCAAGCAGCCCTTGTAACTGTAGATCCACCATGTTAAGAAAAGCCATCTTCATCCTTTTCCTCTTCCTTATTGGTATGTACTCTCACTACTTTTAAAAGCTATCCTCTCCATAATGCAGCTCCTTGTTTCCTTCAAGAAGAAAATATATTCAGGGGGGTCACACCATGGCTCCCTATCTTCTTTCACAATTGAACTAATTTCTTTCCAAATAACAAATATGTTTTTATTTTATGTTAGTAAATAAATATAAAATAGTAGATGGTTTGGCATTAGAAATGACTTTTTTATTAGAATTAAATGAGAATTTATTCTTACTAAGACAATGAAAAAAAAAGGATTCAGGTAGCCGACCCCATGCGGTGGGAAAAGGCTTGATATTGTTATTGTTGTAGTAAATAAACAAAAAATAAATAAAAAATATAAGTGAACCCAGATAGCCCCTTAATTTTAAAATGCAATGATATTTAAACCAAAAATTATATTAATGAGTAAATGGTCTAATTAAGTAAAGATATAAAGTTTTTTCGCTTAATTTCAATGGTAAAACAACAAGCAAATGATAATAATAACAACACCCAACATCAAGCAGTGGGATAAAGGCTTGATGTTGTTGTTGTAGTAGTAAATAAACAAAATAAAAATAAAAAATATAAGTGAACCCAAATGCCCCCTTAATTTTAAAATGCAATGATATTTAAACCAAAATTTATATGAATGAGTAAATGGCCTAATTAAGTAAAGATATAAAGTTTTTTCGCTTAATTTCAATGATAAAACAACAAGCAAATGATAATAATAACAACACCCAACATCAAGCAGTGGGATAAAGGCTTGATGTTGTTGTTGTTGTTGTTGTAGTAAATAAACAAAATAAAAATAAAAAATATAAGTGAACCCAAATAGCCCCTTAATTTTAAAATGCAATGATATTTAAACCAAAATTTATATGAATGAGTAAATGGCCTAATTAAGTAAAGATATAAATTTTTTCACTTAATTTCAATGATAAAACAACAAGCAAATGATAATAATAACAACACCCAACACATAAATTTCTAATGCAAAAAATTGAAGTTCTAGAAGTAGTTTAGACTATTAAATGAAGTCGTATCGATTTGAAAATCTTATGACCAACTAATAAAAAGTAAATATGGCACCCAAGTAGCTTCAACTGACACATAATTCATTTGATAATTATATAAATGCAATACTACAATAGTTATAATGCAAGAATTCAACACCCGACAAGCATTTGCAAAGGAAAACACTTGATTTGATATCAATATTTGGGATGAATGTGAAACTAGGATGTGATGTGAAATAGAACTAAAAAGAGTGCAATATGAAAGCTCTTAGTTAAACATAATCTAAGACTCATAAGTTATATATGATAGCTTCATAGATGCTATTGCCTCAACATACTTTTTTTCAGGTGACAGTTTTAATCAAGAAGATATTTATTGAAAGTGAAAAAATAGAATAATAGAGAACATGAATAGATACAAGTGTTTAGGATTAGTGGAACAAAAATCTTTTGTATGATATATAATTTTAGCAAATGTGTTATCAACAAATAAACATTACTAGAAAATAAAGTGCTACCTATGTGTAATAAGTTTTAAATATATAGAACTATTATATAACACTTCATTTCTGCTTTCAAGCGATTTCTTTTCACCTGATATAACCTTCCAAAGTTGTTGGATGTCAAGAAGTCATTTGTTTAGTCTGGTAACTTGACCTTTAACAAGTAATTTCTCAAATGACATCCAATCCTACTTCATTGATATCCATATATTTATCACATAAGCTGGCATCAAAATGTCAAATTGCAAACATAAATAGCAAAAAATAAAAGATAATGATTAATTTTGAACATTTTAGTACCAAACCAAAAATATTGTTCTTCAAGACAATATTGTTATCTCAACAAAGATGCAATCTAAATAGCATATAACTCATATACTATTGAATCAATCAACCCCTTCCAAAACTGATACTTAGAAATATCAGCAAATCAAAGAATTGATCACTAATAACGCTACATCACAATGTAAATGCGTGAACCAAGCTGCCCTAACAATATGAATGCTGTTTTTCTCTTAAAACTAGTAATTGACCAAAAATTGAAAAAGACAATGCTGAAGAAACTGAACTAAACATATGTCCTTTCTTCCATTCCTCTCCCAATTACCAACTTCCATAACCTATAGCAAGCTTAGAAATCCCACGAATACACTGTGTTAAATTTAAATCTACAAATTGTCTGAGAGATTTTGCTGTGCGCTGTAGAAAGAAGAGCGTGCCTGCTTTTCTCTTTCACGGGCTTGGAATTTGAATGCTTTGGGTAAAGACCTTGTAAAGCAGCGCAGCACAGACCTATCATTAGCTTCCTCACCTCCCCATAGACAACCAACGCCCTGAATCCGAACAAAAGAGATTCAAAACTACGAAACAGAAACCTAGTCTAGACAATGGATTAAATCCCTATATTTGATCATCGGAAAATACCATCCTGTCGGTGATCGACCAGCAATCCATCCTCGTTTCGTGTGATTTCTGGAAGGATAAATGGAAAGGGAGCCGACGCCCAATGTGTCTGTGTAGGTCAGATGACCTGACTTGGCTCGAAGCTAATAATATGTGGCCCGTGTTCTCATTCTTTATCGTGCGGCCCGATCACCTTACTCAGACTTGAACCCAGGATTGTTATGTTCGTGTATTGTTCGGTATTGCTAGTTATTGATCGGTATTGCTAGGTATTGTTTGGCAATAACGATAAATACGGCTCTGTGAAGAACAATATTGAGCAATACCGAGTTTTTAGCAAAACTCGGTATTATTGGGTATTGTTCGGTATTGCTCGGTATTAGTCTTCACATAATTGTATTTTTCGTTATTGTCAAGCAAAATCGACCAATACCTAGCAATATTGAGTAATACCGAGCAATACCGAGTTTTTAGCAAAACTCGGTATTGCTTGGTATTAGTCTTCACATAATGGTATTTCTCATTATTGCCGAGCAAAATCGACCAATACCTAGCAATACCGAGCAATACCTAGCAATACGCGAACAAAGCAATCTCGGGGCCATTCCGGGTCGGGTTGACAGGCCGCGCGGTAAAAAGTAAAAACACGTGGCACTATTTTATTGGCGTCCGAACGTGGAGGTACGTCAGGTCACCGGACCAAATAAAAGTTATTGTGCCAATGCTCTTTGGTCAATAAATTTTCATCATATAAATAAATATCATGTACATTATTTGAATGGCATTAACGGTTCCATCACCTCCTTATTTGCAAACCAAAATTGATTGTTTATTATTGTTTCTTCCTGGCGGCAGAGAAATATAAAATTTGAAGTCTTAATTTTGTATGAAAATTCAACACACAATCAGATAAAAAGGGAGAGTGTATCATTTATAAGAGAGACCAGAGTTTTTATGTGAAAAATCTCTTAAAATGGATAAAATCATGGGGGCTGATCTAGTTTGAATGAATCACTAGTGTTTGCAGTCGATTACAAATAAGGTCCTTCCTTGGGGGGAGGTTTTGGCTTGAGGTAGAAAATATACATCATATAGAGTGTGTTACATGGTTGGAATTAAAAGAATCTATATTTGACATGTTTGTTTGTCAACATTATCATAATCGGCGGGTGACGAAGGTTGGAAAGATCGTTGCTGAGTGATAGTGGTTGAAAAGACCTTAGTCAGCGGATGACAGAGGTCGGAATGATCGTTGTATGTCGACGGAGTTTGAAAGACCGTAGTTTTATAATGGAGGTTGGAAGGATCATAGTCGTTAGAAAGACCGTTGACAACAGATGTTTGAAGGTCCGCAGTCAGGGGGGGCAATAGTGGTCGGAAAGGTCATAGTTTGGCAATAAAATTTGGAAGGATCGTAGTCAGCGGACGACATTGGTCATAAAGACTGTTGTTTGGTGATGGAGGTCGGAAGAATCATAGTCGACGAGCAACTGGGGTTGGAAAGACCATAGTCAATGTGTGATGGAGGTCGAAAAGACAGTTGTCGGTGGTTAAGTGGAAGTTCGCCATTAGTTGGTGGCCGGACAGAAGTTCGGTGTTAGTTGATAGCCTGGCAAAAGTCTAGCGTTAGTCGATGGCCAAGCAGAAGTCCGGAATCAGTTGAGCAACGGTCGGTGGTCCGACGGTGGTCGAGGAGTATAGTGGCAAGAGAATTCTAATTTCTCTCTATGTCTTGTATCCTACTATGGTCCCCTTTTCATTATGAATGAGGGGGTCTATTTATAGTTTTTTTATATTAGCACGAACAGTAAATAGGAGGGAGATCAAGGGTACATTATGAGTGGTTTGAATGGACGATCGATATTGATCCCCTTGATTGTGGATTGTTTACTGGGCATTTGAATATCTTAATGATATTAGAATTTGTTAATTTTAAGCTTGTATGATTCATCTCGTTAATACACTCGATTTGACTATAAACATGTCATGTTTGGAAACCGTTTGGTCACCCAATATATAGTTAGAACTTTTCAAATGTGCTTCAGGTCTTTGATTTAGTCCCATTCGGGCTCGGATTGGGTCGAATTTGATGTCGTTGGATTCGTCTATTTTAGACTTTCAGTTCGACTATAAGTTTGTTGAAACCAATGTTCATATGGTCCCGAATTTAATTTCGGAAGTTTCCAACTCAATTTTGTCTTGAGATTTGTGCCAGATCAAGAAAAAAATTATGATATATCATTTACTTATTTTTTTAGGGACATTTAGGTCAATTAAATCAAATTCACACATGCATTGTATACACAATCTTTGAATTCATGACCTTTTGATTGGTATTCAAAGCTCACAAACAATATATAAATATAAGCTATGTGCAAAATAAAATGTAAATTGGTAAGATCCTGATACATCAACATAAAGTTCACCTACTCAAACTCTAATGGTGATATAACTTTAAAATATTGCATTACTTAGTATTTGAGCAAAAAAAATTAACTCCAAAATATATTTCAACTATAGGTTTAGAGTGAACTTTGATGAGATAATCTCAATGATACTCACAATCACATATATGATATTTACAACCCTACGTACAAGTCTAAATAAATATAAATCTAGCACTTCGTACTTCATAGTGTAAAATCAGAGTCGAACTAAATATTCCTATGACAAAAATCAGATGAGACTAAAAGTGATTCAATCACGATCTAAGCGAGCACATAATCAAACGCTTGAAGCATATTAAAAACTTCATGGCATTCAATAGATGCTTAAAACACCAACTTTGATTCTTGGCGTTAATGTAAATATTAAATTGAACTTATATCATATGTTCTCCTCTCCTCAAAGAAGGATGATCGAATATACAAAAAATGGATTTTTTAAGATAAGGCCACTGCCTCGAGGTTTTTCTAACTTCCATCGTAAAATCCATCCTCTACAACTCATGTCTATTACTACATTGTGTTGACACCTTGCTCAATTACATGGAATGGCATCATTTATAACTTACGACGTACTTCAAGAAATAAATTTAATGGGTCTAGGTCCCAAGAATATATGTTGATTTTAACACAAGTACTTCTATTTATTCAAATATGTCATAATGCTTAAGCCTTAAAATATATGTTTTTTTTTTTTTTTGACATTTAGGCCATTAAAGGCAAACACACACACAACGCATACACATAGACTCGAACCCTGAACCTCTTAGTTGGAAGCCTAAGCTCTCAACCAATAGGCCAAGGAGAGTCGTGTAAGATATGTATTTTTCATTCATACAAAAAATCTTAGAAGGAACAAGCTAAAGAAGCTGAACAAACTTTATTCATCCAAAGATCTCAATGATACAAACTGATTTTAAAAACTCAAAGAGCACATTGTGTTTACCAACACCCTTTATCAACAATGACATATAGAACACTATGTTAACTCAAATATTCAACTACAATATGTTAGATTTCTAGCAAGCCTAAAGATTTCAAATGCATATCAAAGACATCTCAACTCTCAAGGCTTAGACTTCATTTGAGACGACTTTCTTCCTACTTCTTAAAATGACTTTTTAGTAAAAAAAATAAAATTTTGTACTAAAATTCGCTTTAAGAAGCACGAAAAAAGCCGTCGCAAATGATGCCTTGATCTCCCATGGGAATAAATTCTTAAAAAGCTTGATCTATATCACATCAATATTAAGAATTAATCAATTATTCTTCCAATAACTTCAACAAGAACAATAGTTAATCTTGCATGTTAATATGTGAAGAAATGCATATTCAAAAGCCAATCAAAAAATATATCTTATTTTAAAGTCACATACAAAATTCTTAGATCTATATGGTGTCAACACATACTCCGTCATCATTACTGGACATTTCTTGAAGCCTTCGAGCTCCAGCCTTAGTTTTCAATGAGAGATTTTTCACCCTGGAAGTTTGTTGCAAACATGTAACTTCTGTCTGGGTTGCAACACATCTCAAATGATGTCAATGACATTAAAGATAATGTTAATGTTTGAAATCATCAATTTTGACACCTAATGTTTATATGAAGTTGAAAATCAAGCTCTATCTCTGGCAATACTTGAAATATATATGCACATGTATATAATATTGGAGTAAATGTTGGAAGATGAATAGAAAAAAATTATAAGAATATTAAAAAATGGAAAGACATAATCTATGGTGAAAATTTCATTTGTTAGACTTCAACAAAATTTTCTACAATGATGATGTAGTGCATAAATCGCCAACTAAGATTCACTGAGAGAAAATTTAAAAAAAAAAAAAAACATTATCAATTAATGGGTGCATCTATAACATATTAAATTCTTAAAGCATGCAAACAAAGAAATGATATATTTCATGAATTTACCACCATATCAACAAATAATATATTTACATGAAAATATTAATGAAGGTAGTACAAGGTGTTATCTACATCCATAAACAAAAATTAGAATATTTTTATTGCTAACATAAACATTGAAATTTGCTAGAGATAGAAAAAATATAGTTTCAACATTTTGACATCCAAAAACCAAAATCTCTCAAAAAAATTAAAATGATAGAATTTCATGATAACTTTTGGGAAATAAATATAAATGTAAATGATCACCAAACAAATCAAATAAAAATTCTGATAAAAAGTGCAAAAACATTTAAGAAAATACTAAAAAATAAAACAGTGGCATAACTAATAATATTTTTTGTAAATTTTTAGGGGTTTTCCTTTGTCATAATAGCCATCAACTCTAGTATGGACTCTAATAAATTTTAAGGATAATAAACTTCTTTGGAGGACAAAATCAGAACTTCAAAATGGTGTAAAATTTTTGTCACCTTCTATTCAATATGTTCAAAATGGAGTGTATCAATCCCGCTTGAAGAGTAAAATCAAAGCCATACTACAAAGATTGAAAATCATTGGTGTCACTCATAATTCCACATATGCAAGATAGTTTAATCCTATTGGTAGAAGAACACTGGAGCTTGCAAGTAGGAGTGTCAATTTCGGGTCACGGGTCGGGTTCGGGTCGAACCCGGAATGACCCGCACAATTCAGGTCAACCCGAACCCGACCCGTTTTTATAAAAATGGGTCGATTCTCCAGATCCAAACCCGACCCGCTTCGGGTTCGGGTCAACACGACTAGACCCGGGGACACGTGAAAGGCCATGAGCAGCTTCGCGTCAGCGGGACGCGACAGTGGTCATGTGGGACGGGCGAAGCGATGCGGTCTCGCGGGATGGGCGAAACGACGTGGAACTGGCGAAGCGACACGAAGGCGGCGGGCGAAGCAACGTGGTCATGCAAGCGGGCAACGGGTCAGCTGGGTAGCGCAGCGGGGGGCGGGGCAGCTCGGTCACGCGACTCAAGCAGAGGGGGTTGCAGGCGGGTAAGCGGAGCTCAACGGCATGCATCTCGGTCACGCAGGGGAAGCTCGGTCAGCAGGTCAATTCGGATCATTTTTTGGGTTTCCAGGTCAACTCGAACCCGCCCGATTTTTGAAACGGGTCAAAAACTCTAACCCGAACCTGACCCGATTCAGGTTCAGGTTGACCCGAACCCGAGATTTTCGTGTCAGGTTCGAGTCGAGTTTTCGGATCGTGTCAAATATTGACACCCCTACTTGCAAGGATGAATATGTGTCACTTGTGCATAATAGTATTAGTCCTCTATAATAGATTCCTTATTTTCCACATAAAATGGGGTTCTAATGAGGTTGGAAGTTTAAACCTAGACTTGGAGTTAAAATAGAGCTTTGTCGATGACCAACAATTCTTGTTCCCCTATCACTATCTTTCAAACACTTTCACCTAACTAAGCTCTTCTGACCACTACCACTTGACTATAGTATCTCGACCACCAATGCTTAACTATGGTATCCTGACCACCGTTATTTGACAATTATCTCTTATTGACTTAATAATATTGACACATGCCATCATTTATAAAGTTGATGCACCCCTTTCAATGCACATGTCATATGTAAGCATGAGCAAATTCAAGGGGGTGCCAGCGGGAGCAATCCAATCAACAACATGACCGTTAACCAAGCAATATCCACGGCATCACATACCAATCTATAAAAAAATATAAATAAGTCTAGTAAATCCTAGTAGATGATAATTGTGATCTTCTTTCACTTTATCTATGTTAACTTCAAAATCAAATCAGTCTAGTTATATATTAGTATCATGCATTTTATAAATAAATGAATATTATAGAAGTTGAAAGGAAATGAAAAATATAAAAAAAAAAACCTGAATAATAACTTTTTTTAAAAAATTTTAATATACCATAATTGGTATTTATCTTATGTACAAATGATTTGTAAATTTTGACAAATTAATTTTGGCTAGAATTTGTTCTTTCTTTTTTTCTTAAAATTGCATATGTTGGTCCAAGTCCAGATGAGAAAAGTTGAGGAAAAGTTTGTCAAAATGAATCTTCGCCCCCACAAATTTTTTTTTCTATATCATATACATCAAAATATTTTTATATTCATTCCTCAAAATTAATGTATAATAGCCACAAATTCATTTCTAACATAAATCTATCATTTTTATTCCTGGATATAAAAGAATAAAATAAAAATACCAATAAAAAAAATGGAAATCCTTTTTAGCATCACTCAACTGGGTCCTGACCCCTACCTAAAAATTATGTAACAACCATGGAGCGAGATAACAACTCAGTATGTTATTGAAACCTATAATTATAATTAATGCAAGCAATAAAAACAATATGCATGTAATCATTTAATTCAAGTAGCATAATCATGCAACCGTATGAATACGTGACAATCAATATAAACAATGTTATTTCGCAGGGGCAATACAAATAGGAGTAATATAATACATATTTAGTGATAAGTGGTCAATAGTCATATAAAAGTTCAATAAATTTTATCATTCATATACTTATGTTAATTATAACATAGCATACTATTATGAATCTATGCATGTACATCAATTCTACATTAGTTTAGTCTTCATGTCATTTCATGTATATCAATATATCAACATCTATATTATGCATGTTGTACAATATCAAGTATTAATCCATGCATATCATGTATTTATATTACATGCAATGCAACATATGTATCATATATTTCATATACATAGTGTGTCCTTATATCAATCTCGTGTATCTTGTAATATGCTTTATATCAGTCATGTCCTGTATCATGTGCATATTATATTATATTATATCATTTAGACATTTATAAAAAATTTCATGTATGTCATATACATATATAAGCAATATAGAACATTCAACTACCTGTGATATTTTTCTTTTAAATAATCATTAGGCCAGCCCTAAAAGAATCAATCTCAATGATATCAACCCAATTTTAAGGAATCAATCTCATATCACATATCACAAGTCAGGTAACTTTCATGTAAGAAATCGTCACTTCCAGCCCGTCAATGTATTATATCATCTAAGTTAATCTTCTTATACCTCATTTTTCATATCACTTTGGATTATACCATAAATCTTATTTAAAAGAAAGTCTATCGAACCACCCTTATATACAAGGTATCATGTGTAATGGTCCAATATCAAATTTAAGAAGAATTGCCTATTTAAGTTTCTTAATTAATTAAGAAGAACTTCTATAAATTCATCAACTTAAATTATTCAATGGAAGCAACTAAAAATCATATTCATCAAGATATAAAACTAGAATCATCCCTTAAAATTCATATACATAAGCCATAAGATCAATCTTTACAATCATTTTAACTTTTTAAGCTCATAACTACAAAAGAATAAAACTAAAGAAAACACAAAAATAAAATAAAACATGAATATTAGATCTTGCTTCACTCCACCGCATTCTGACCCCTTCCTAAAAATATGTAAAACTACGGAGTAAGTTAACAGCTCAGTATATTAGCAGAACCTATAACTGAAATCAATGCAAGGTGATATGAATAGTATGCATGTAATCATTCAATTACTATCAATATGAATATATAACTATAAAAGCATGTAACAATGAATGAAATAGTAACAAGTCATATGATAAATAAACATCAGTGCAACTGTATATCTTAAGAGTAATGATCAGTAACTAAGTGAACCGTGATCAGTAAGTTATGTCAATCATATATTCAACGGTTATAAAATAGTTAATATAACATCTTATTACATCGGTACACCTGTCATTATCATATGCATACCATACAGTGTCTATGATATGCATGAATATCATATAAATCAGGTGATTTATATATTTAAAACATTTTTGCATCAATTTTATGCATCTTATCAAATACTTGTATCATTCACAATATTTATCTTATGTAAATCATGTCATATCAATCATATGAGAATGTAAAACCATTTGTCATTCTCTAAGAAAATGATTAACAATTTTGTGTTTTCTTAGAAATACTAAAATATTTGTTGTATTCTAAATTTCACATTTTCATAAATATATTTAATATAAAATAATGAAAACAATTTTAAATAAAAATTAAAATTAACTAAAATAAGTATTATATATAATAATTAATCAAAATATATAATAATTATTTTAGTTAATTTTTTTATTAAAATTTCTTTTATTATTATTTTTATTAAAATATCTATGAAAGAGTGAAATAACTATTATCTTAAAATACACTAGCGGCTGTTTAGTTGGATTCCAAATGCGTGTAAAGTATTTCGAATGCAGGGGGTTTTGAATAATTTGGAGCTTTGTTTGGACAAAAAAGAAATGCAAAGTAGAGAAAATGTAGTGTAAACCATTCAAATTCATTTTTGATGTTTACCAAACTAGAATCATTTTGAGAGAGAATGGTTTACACCCGAAGCAAGCTCTTAACCGTCGCCAACCATCAGCACCACCACCAATCGTCACCGCCGCCTGCCGTCAGCAATCTGCCATTTCTACCATATTTAGACTTTACACTATATTAATTTTACTTCAAACTAATTAAAAAAAGCATTCATCTAAATTTATTTTACATTCATTCAAATAACTATAATTTATTTTTATACTACATTTCTTTTGTATTGTATTTTTTTAGCCAATCAAACAACCCTTACATTATTTGATTTTCTCTATGAAAATATCAAATTCTTTGAATATTTTTAGAAAATGCCAAAATTTTTTTAACTTATTTACCTATCAAATTTTTTTATTTCATTTTTAATTTAATTATATGAGAGCTAATTTTTTAAAACATATCCTTTTTCTTTTCATAAATCACCAATAGAATTCAGAAGCGGGGAGCCGGGGGCACACCACTTGGAAATTAAAGACAAGCAATGGGTGTCCTTTGGTCATTTTACACCACCCGCCTTCCGCGACAGATTTGCTTGGCTTCCCGCTTGGGGGCGCGCAAATCTCCTCGTGGGCACTTGTGGAAGGAAGAGCCGCCGCAAGATAGACAGATAAGAGGTCAGGAGGAAGAAGAAGGTTATAAAATCAATAGAGAGAAAATTCCTTGGATGAGAATGGAGAACGTTGCAGGGACCTCGGCCTGGGTCGTCAGTCGATCTTCCCACGTGAAGGTGGACTCCGTAGGTACTGCGTTTCTTCCTTTGTTCTTCTTTTTTAAACTAGGGCTAGGGTTTAGAGGACGCTGTTTGTGGTGGAGTTTCATTTTATGTGGAGTTCATATAAGCTTTCTATGGTTTTTTCTTCCCCCGATTTATTTGTGTGGATGACAGAGTTAAGTTCCTTTGTCCGAATTGTGCATGCCGTGCTACTCTCTTGGAATGGTCTTGGATGAGATATCTTCTGTAGATTGACCAATCTTCGGTAGATTGACTGAAAGGAAATGAAAAAAAAAAGAACAAGTTGGTTGAAAAGCTTAAAAATTCATGATTGCTGATTCATAATAAACCCATAGATGATTGGGTTCCTTTCATTTCCTATACTTTCTTTTAATCCGAACAAATTCTAATTTACTGGGTGAATTTGCATGAATTTATTCTATGTTCATCTGATCTCCTGAGATGTTAGCCATATTTTTTTTTCTAGATCTTTTTATAAATTTACCTTTCCAATTATCTCTTTATTTAGTTTATATTTTTGGCAAACATACTAGTTTATAAAACAACAAGGGGAAGAAGAAGTGGCAGAAATGGAAATATATTCCTTTCTTGTAATGATTTTCCAGGAAACAATATCACAAATTGGCCTCCATTACTATTGGGTTAGTATATTTATATCCATGACTCCACATTTGCTAAGAGACAAAGCACCCAAGCATGACTAGTTACCGCTAATAGTAACGGGTTCTGCTAACATAAGCAATACTAGAGAAACCACAAAATGGAGACTAGTTTCAAAGAATAATAAATGGAAAAGTAACGAAAGGTGGAAGTTTGTTGATCTACATTAGTTTTCTTTTTCTCCAGAAGAGCTCGACACGAGTTCGATGTGCAATGTGGTACTTTCATTAGGTGGGTGATATTTGTAGATATATATTGAAGGTACAAGAGAGTTAAGAAATGATGGTCGAGAGACATTGGCTTCATCATTGATGCAGTTGGCGATGGAAATAGTGAAAACTTATGTGTTTTTTATTTAGAATACATGCTAGTAGGGAAGAGTTCTTTGCGAAGATGGATCATAAGCGATTCACCAACATGAAAAATTTTAGATCGTCGATAAAGATTAATTTTCTCTTTGCAGTGACTAGGATTTGCAGTTAGCTTGTTTTCACATCCTTAAGTAGTGGTTGAGCCATGTATTTTTTGTAGTGGAGGTGCAAATTTTCTGTTTAAACAATATCATCAATACTTCTCAATAGATATGGGTGTGCAATCCATTTTTTTTAAATGAATTGGTTGACGTATTCATCAAACCAATTTGTTTTAGATCTGAAATCTAAAAAACCTGAATCGACCCAACTAAGATGACAACCGAACCAAATCAAACAGAAGTGTAGTTCCATTTATTTGGTTTAGTTTTTAAGAAATTGAAATTTTGAGTGATATTAAAGATTTTTCATTAAATCAGAGAATCATTCAAATAAACACATAAGTATTGAACATGTTGATCTTTCTATCACTTGTTTATAGTTCATGAGTTTTATTGATTTAATATCTTAAAACATTAGCCGATTAGCGTAATTCACTTTTAGTTGAAAATCAAATTAGATATAGAACCAGAATAAGGAGAGGATCAAGGTTTAATGGCTCGACCATGGTTGAAGTTTTTGAAGTAATAAATATCACAATTATTTAAATATCATCTAAATAATATAATAATGATATAATACTTATAAAATAATATAAATTCGTGGCTAAAAAAATAAATAATATCATAAATAAATAATATATTCTATAATTTTAAATTTAAACATATTCCATCTTTAAATTTAATTCATATTTAATATAAAATTAGTTTACATATAAGTTTATAAATTTAATATAAATAATAAATAATTTATATTATATATTTAGATATGATTTACACATACAAATTAAATACAAAATTTACATGATTTTAAAAAACTTGAACATCATTAAGATCATCAAAAAATTTCTTACAAGCTATAATGTGCACCATCCTTGAGAATATATCAACAACTATTAGGACAGAGTTCGTGCCACGCTTTGTTTATGAAAGGCCCAAAACAAATTCAAGGCGATAACTTCCCAAATGAAAATTGAAATTTGTAATGGAGTGTAGTTCAATGTTACTTCTTTGTATGTTTGGCAAAAGTGCATTTCTCAACATATCCATAGATATCTCTTTGCATATTGGGCCAAAAAAGTGAGCTTGTAACAATGCCGATGTTTGGTCATACCCAGTTTGAGCTGCTAATTGTTACAAGAAGCAATTTGAGATGATGTAAGTGCTTAGTAAATGAGAAATTGAAAATCAGGATATAGTCAAAAAAATCTACACAATTTTTGAAGGAAAGGTTTGAGTATCTCATTCATAAAATACATATAAATAGTTTGTGCGTTGCACGGGTTAGAGAGGCATCACCTTCCACTCTTAGTGAGTTTAAATCAATGTCTTCTATTCATCGCCCATTCAAGTTTAAATTTGATGGTACTCACCGTAGACTTCTAATTCAGAGAAAATAGTCAGATAATCCAAATTGGTCTTGCATGTCCTCCAACCGTTGCCTTGGAAATCTGTATTTGACTTTAATTTTGCTAATCATATGTCTGCAATACACATCCGTGAGTTTCCATCCTCTTTAGGAACAAGCAATACAAGTATTGTGTAAGGTTTTAAACTACGTTGAATAAGTTATTTCTTAAGAATTCCATCCACGATATATTGTAGAATTTTATGCTCCCATGGGCTCATTTTGTAATGCTGTAAGATAGTAGAGTTCCTTCCAAAATTAAAGCAGTATGATATTAGATTGATCTAAGGGGTGGTAGTTCGGGTATTTCTTGGGGAGCAACATTAGCAAATTAATCTAGCAGATCTTTTAGAACATGTGAAATTTAGTTGATGCGGGCCTTTGTTTTACAAAAAGAACAAAAGAAAAAAAAAGGACGTCTCATTGAAAATAAGCAAATAGATGAGGTTCGGAGAGACTCTTTGAAGTAATCAAGTAAAAGACTTTGTGCCAACTCACTTTGCTATGGTAGGAGTTAATAGTAGTCTCATTTTTTTTTTCTTTTCAATCAAATACATAGGCATTAGCTTGGCAATCATACCATTCCCCTCTCTGGTTATATCAAATTGCGAAGATGACACACATCCATGTGTAATGTGCCAGACTGGACTTAGCATAAAAAATGATTGCCAATAGAAAATGAGACCTTACACTTGTCACGTCATTTCCGTTAGGGATCCAACTGATTTTATAAAGTTGTGGTTGCTTTGTAATTTTCAGTTGGAGAGTCTTAACCATAAGGTAGTATTTTCCTTACAACATTGTCCGTCAAGCGGTCGTAGTCGTTGTCGAATGCTGTTTTGTAGTCTGAAAAATAGCATGTCTTTAGAGGCTACTTGTTGGCGAGGAGCTAGTAACACCTTCTCATGGTTACAAGAAAAGAATTTTCCTTCATTAGCCATGAAATTCTCAAGTTTGTGAATGATTAGGGATGATTTAGGCTAGCTGTAATCATTTTGCTCTGTGTCCATAACCTACTCGGACATTCATTAGATTGATGGTCAGATTAAAAACAATAGATACACTAAGGACATGGTTTATTCTAAATATTATCATGTTTGAGCCCTACCTTCATTTGGGTTTTCTAATATGACCAATAGCAATCACGGATGGTTGGGATTACAGCTGACTTGTTTTATTGGCTCGAGGAGATCCTTTAATGGTTTCACTTATTTGTTCATTGAACTGTTGTAAGTGTTCCTAGCTTGAAAATTGTGAACTAGCTATATTGGTGCTTTTACGCAAAATTGATCTTATGAGTAGGACACTGCACGAGTTCACTTCTAATTTTTCTTGGATGGAGTTTTTCAATCCTCCAATGTATCTAGCAATTAATTGTTGCGTTTTCTAATTGAATTTGTTACGGGCATTTTAGGGATATAACTCTTGGGCTTAAGCACTACCCGGAACTTTGAGAACATTGCTTATATTAGAGATATAACATTTACTCATAATTAGAGGGAGACTTTGATGCAATCTTGATTTATCGTTTTATATTTTGTATTGTATTTCTTAAGTTTTGGATGTTATGTAATTTTGGACTATGATTTTTTTATATTCCATATGATGGAAGACAACCAAAGAACATTCTAGGTTGGTGCTCTTAGGTTATTTCTCTCCTTGGTTTTTTCTCCTCATCGTGAATTTGTTTGCTTGCTTCCTTTTGGCTAAATGGTCATTTATTGATGGGTTGATTTTTTCCTTATTGGGCATGGCCCATTTCCCTTTATTCCTTGGCTGTTTGGTGTCTTGGCTTATTACGGTTTGATGGTTGTTGGATTTCTGCTTGATACCAATGCAAATTTCAAATACCTACTTGATTTTTCTGGCTGTTGTTTCCCTGTGGCATGACATTATTGTTCGACAAGTTTTACGCTGGCTGTCGACTACCTAACGCAACCCTCCACTTTTCTCATCCAGGACTTGAGACCTACATGATTTCTGCCCTACCTTCACTTGGGACCTTTATTTTAAAAATTCTGATAATTGGGAAATATATAAAGTGGCTCGTAAGGATGCTAAGAAAGCAATATGCGATGCAAAGGCATTAACTTTTAGTGATTTATATAATAAATTAGATACTAAAGAGGGAGAAAGATATATGTATAAGTTAGCCAAATAAAGAGATA